GAGACGAGCGAGTTAGTTAGGCTGGTGCGCCTGCGATACAGCTGTTCTGCGTTCTGATTAAAAGTTAATACACAGAGCGTCTTTTGTCTGTCGTTCTTCAAACATTACAGTAGACACATTTTGGTTTACAAACTGTATTGTTTCATCAGTTAGTCACGTTAGCACTCGGCTAATGTATCCACCATTATTCTTGTTACACTGTAAAATGTCCAATATCATTTCATGTCAATTACCCATACCAAAGTACTACAGTACTCATCTGATGCCATCCCTACACCGATATCACCTTTTTGTAAGGCCACATAGTAAACTTGTAGAGATGGTTTTCAAAAGCAGATAGACTATTGGTTGTCATGTAGTCAGCCAAGGGCTCTTCCTCTTCAAACGTGCGACTCTGTTTGTGTTTTCATTGGATAATGACACCAGAAGCTCTGGCAACAGTAACAATATCAAAAACAACCTACGAACCTGCCGAATTCACACTTATCAACCTCCAGAGAGAAAGAGAGAGTGCTATGGATCCAGTGTGAAATACTGTGAAGATAACAAGAGAAAACTGTGCCAAGGACAGAGAGGGATGGGACAGGATAGGACAGGAAAGAGTGATTGATAGGTGAGAGCAGAAAGCCTGATAAAAGGCTAGGTGTGGAGAGGAGACACGAGCGATGAGAGATGAGCGGTAGAGGGAGGAGAGCAAACATGAGAGAGAGGTGGAGAGACAGATTACATCCCAGGAGCTCCGCTGATAGGTAACAGCACTTGTAATAAGGCAGGATTGCTATAAGAAGCAGATGGCACTGTGGCAGAGAGAGACAGAGATATGGGCTTAACAGAAAATGATAATATCATGGAATCACTGATAGCTCTCGTTTCTCTCTCACCGCTGTCTGCACTACACTGTCCTGGACATCACAACTAGCTCAGACCATAGCTTTAGGGGGAAAACAACATTTAAGTTGTTGCCCTATTAATTTTACCTTGAGAAAAAAATAGAAATAAAAAGCCAAGAACACAACACTTGCAACACAACACTAAAAGAGCTTTAAATTGCATTAAAATATTTGGTCACACTTTATTTTAAGGTTCAATTCTCACTATTAACAAACCATTAACTTTGACTTTTGCCTCAATAAACATATAATAGTTAGTAAGGTAGTTTTTAAGTTTAGGTATTGGGTAGGGTTAGGGATGTAGAATATGGTCATACAGAATATGTGCTTTATAAGTACTAATAAACAACCAATATGTTAATAGGCATGCTAAAGCACTAAAAGTAATAATTGGTCCCTGCACTAAAGTGTTACCAAATATTTTATACTACAATAAGGTCAAATAAAGTTACTTTTTGACTTTCAATTATTATTTTTCATATCTAAATTATAAACAAAACTTTCCCCCAAATTTACATATACCTTTCAAAGATTTTGGGGTCAGTAAGTTTAAAAAATATATATTTTTACTTCAGTCTTCAGTGTCACATGATCCTTCAGAAATTATTCTAATATGCTGATTTGGTGCTTAAGAAACATTTATCATTATTATCAGTGTTCAGAACAGTGGTGCTGCTTAATATTTTTATGGAAACAATGATACATACGTTCTACATTCTAATTCTAATAGAAAGTTTAAAAGAACAGCATTTTTTAAAAATATAAATCTTTTATAACAATTCAAAATACTTTAATATCACTGTTGTGATAAAACATTTTAAAAAATCTAACTAAACTTTTCAATAGTAATGTAGGTCAACCAAGATTTCAGTTATATAAATCTTTATGAACTTTTTAATATTTCTAAATAGAACATGACAAATAATTTACAAAGTGACAAATGATATATTCATAAAGCAAAACCATGCATTATTCAGTCAATACAGCAATCTATACTACATCATGGGCTGTGGCATTAAATAGATGATAGAGATGAGCAGCATCACGCTTCTCCTTCAGTAGAGCAAGACTGCTGGATGTCCTCAGGAGCTGCCTGTGGCTGTCATATTTCAACAGCTCCATACGAACCCTAATAACCATCCACTGGGAGAACATCATAAGACCCACACAACCCTGTCCAAAGGGTCCCTCCCACACACACACATCAGCTCCTTTGTTGTTCTTTGTGAATGAAGAAGAGATCAAAGCAGCGGATCTCTACGTGAAGGTGCCCCAACCTCCGTCAGAACCACTTGGCTGGTAATGGGCTTTCATCGGGGGGGTGATGAGGTGAGAGCAGGATAGGACAGATGGGGGAGAAAGGGGGATAAGGAATTAGGAACACGAGGGGGGCGGCAATTGATCAGCTGTCATCTCCGCTTACAGTACACTGGTGCACATTTCACAGGAAAATATCCGATCCAACTGGGTAAGATGCACACCGGGCACAATCATCTCCTCCATTTCAAAGTGGAACCATTTGAATGAGACCGCAGCCCACAGCTCTAGCAACAGGATACAAGAACTTTCAACAAAAGCCTCCATTTAGAAAACCCAACATGCATTACAAAAAAATGTAGTGATGACATTAATGAGTTATGAATGAAAATATAAAATCAAAACCATAATGTAAACCTCATATCAGATTTTTCAACCCATAATGAGATGGTAAAATCCTGTTTTATTGTCGTTCTCTGGTGCCGTTCAGTATAATTATTCCAAACATTCATCACGCATGAACAATGGCAGTCCAATGCCCCACATACTTTGCAACATAACTGTCTCCTCCTGCTGATAACAAACCCATATTCTGTCAGCTCACATACCAGACCGATGCTTAGCATTCTGCAGTGAAATAAATGTGAACCTTGCCTCAAACTATTTAGGTACAGATAGTCTGAGGCAAACGATGTCCTAGTAGGACAAGACAATGATTTAAACAGATTAATTTTTATTGGATAGTTCACTCAAAAATAAACCTTCTGTCATCATTTGCACATGCTTATTCTTCATCTGCATTGTCAGGGAAAAAAAAGATAAAATTGTAACTTTAGGGCCAACAGCTTGTCACTGAGGCAGTATCCTTGAAGGGGCAACTTTTGTACCTTATTAGTACCTTAGAATAGTACTAATATGAACCTTTATGGGTAAATAAAAAGAAAATACAAAGATCCCCCTTTAAGGGTACTGACCTCCATCTGATGGACACTTTACAATCCCATGAGGCCATGGGAGAGGAGTTATGACTGGCAGTGAAGTGAAGCAACAGACGCTGGTGCCAACATTACAAATGTAGCACTTCTAGATTACATTTTATTAGTGCTGTCAAACAATTAATCACATCCAAAATAAAAGTTTTTGTTTACATAATATATAAGTGTGTGTACTGTGTATATTTATATAAATACACACACATACCGTATATATTTAGAAAATATTTACATGTATATATTTATATAATTTATATTATATATAAATCTATTTAATATATAAACATAACATATTTTTCTGAAATGTATACATGCATGTGTGTGTATTTATATATACATAATAAATATACACAGCACACACACATATATTATGTAAACAAAAACGTTTATTTTGGATTTTTATTTAATCGTTTGACAGCACTACATTTTATACTACACACACTCATACTATACACTATACAGAACATAACTTCTGAACAGTTGTGAAGTAATTACTTATTGAAAAGAAGTGCCTAGATGCAGCCAAGCTGTTGTACACCTACATTTCTTTTGCACAACTTTTGACATGATTTCGTCCATAAAATACAAAAGGGGAAATGTCGCAGAATGTCCAAGCTGCTCTTTTCCATACAATGATAGTGGATGGTAATCAGACAGCTAAGGCCACTGCAATAAATAACTTTTCATAAAACACAAGGCTGAGTAAATTATGACAGAGTTTTATTTTATTTCTTTAAATTACACGCCTACAAAAATCTTCAGATCATCAGATTCCCACCCAACCTTTCTGCTCTACAGAGATGATGTTATCCTCTGATGAATACTATGCAAACCTGCAGGCGTCACATCAATTTATTTTCCAATTTCCTGTCCGCTGAGATACCCTCTCTCTTTCTATCTCTCTACTGTCCCACTAGATGAAATATTGAGGGCTTTTTCTGCAGAGGAGCAAACTGGCCCTATTTTACCCCATGTGAGCCAGACACTAAGGCGATCGTCTTGAACATCCAGCTCAAGTTCTGTAGTGCTCTGTGGCCCCACAACAACGCACAATAAATCAACGAAGCATTTCATTAGAGCAGACGGCTACATCTCCAGCGAGCCGGTGCCCTGTGTATTGTAAAGGTGCACGGCGGCGGACCAGGTCAGGCTAAAAACTAGAATGCCGGTGTTGTCACAACTAAACAGCCTGACCCCTTACTCCTTTCCTCACGTCAAGGGGTCAGTGAGGCATGACAACCACACACAACAGAAGGATCGTGTGACAGCGCAGCGAGTATAAATGTATTCAGCTCTTCTCTCCCTCCCTCCAGAGGTCTAGCTTCCGCTTCAGATCTGTCTAATGTCATGAGCAGAAGTAAAGTGAAAGTGAAAGTGACGTGACATGTGGCCAAGTATGGTGACCCATACTAGGAATTAGTGCTCTGCATTTAACCCATCCTAAGTGCACACACACTCTGCCGGTACGAGACTCAAACCCGCAACCTTTGGGTTACGAGTCCGACTCTCTAACCATTAGGCCACGACTTCCCCATGCAAATGATATTCACAGTGTTCCCTTGTACTGTTCAGCGAGCCTGCTCTGCATATTCCAAACTGGAAATCTCCTCAGGTGGGATTTCACTCAAAAACCATGAGAAATTTCACACATAATAAATAAACTGCATTCTTTTTATTTATTAAAACACTAATTAGAAAAAGATGCAATCTAGTGTATCCACTGATCTAAATTATATCCTGACAGAAAACATATGTTCATTCATTTCTCCACAAATCATCCCATTCAACAAGCACAAAATAAGAGCTTTTTAAAGCATAAACCAGTGAAAATCCTCCCCAATCTCCTTCTAGAGTTCCATACCTCTTTCTCATGCAGAAACGTCAGGTAGGGGACGAGAAGGCAGAGCGTGTCAGCAGAATCAGCAGTGCGCACGCAGCGGTCTATTCCACTCTGATGTGATGGCAGCATGTGAGCTGCTTTAGCTCTCTCAGCTATTGTTACAGCCGCCAGCTCCGCACTGAGTATGCTCCGAACACCGATCCACTCACCGTTGGCATGGGAACCACTCAAGCACAGACCTCACTAAAAAGGACCTCCCTGATATACACTCTCTCTTTCCCCCCACCTGTCCTCTCGAGGGGGTTTTCCTTGTTTTTGTGTCTGTAACCCTGTGAACCAAAGCAAAGCTTTACAGACCAGAATAAATTGATGTAAAACATCCACTCATGAAGTTAACGGAGCTAAATAAGGCAGTTGTAACTGTAGCTCTAGCATCATTTTCTCAGCCATTGTCTTCTGCCTTGAGTTTGATACAATGAAATTCAGTTTAATCCAAATTGTGATGTTATGAAAAAAAAAATTATTTGACACAATCAGAATGTGACCTTAAAAGATTGCTTATCTAAATGAGTCGATACTCTGAATGTCCAAAAACCAACTAGTGAATTAGCAAGGTTAACAAGTTTGTTTAGGTGTTAATGTTGTTTATCTATTTTAAAATAATTATAAAATAAAACAAAACAAATGAAAATCTAAATAAAAAAAACGATTTCTTATATTTAATTAAATAATAAACGAAATAAACAAATAAAAAGAAACAAAACATAATAAAACACATTTAAAAATAATAAAAAAATAAATAACAATAAAAGCTAAATAAATAGTTTATCTGGGTTTTTATTTTTATATTTATTTATTTATTTTAAAATATCTAAAATTAAATAAATATCAAATGAATTAATTTAAAACTACCTAGTTTTTGATTTGTATTATTTTATAATACAAATAACTATTAATATTTATCTAGAAAATAAATAAATATAAATCTAAATAAATAAAGCTAGTCTAATAAATAAATAAATAAATATCCAAAATAAAACTAGTTCATGTTTTTATTTTTAATTTAAAATATCTAAAATTAAATAAAAATTAAAATAAATAAATACATACATGCATGTAAAATTACCTATTTTTTGTGTTATATTTATTTAAAAGTTAAAAATCTATTAATATCTATCTAAATAAACACAAATCTAAATAAAGCTAGTTTATATAGGTTTTTAATATTTATTTAAAATTGTAAAAAAATAAAGTCTAAATAAATAAATACATAAATAATCTAATTTTTAATTAAATAAATAAATACCTAAATAAACAAATAAAATCTAAATAAATCCTTTTAAAAATAAATAATAAAAATCTAAATAAATAATCTAGTTTATCTGGGTTTTTAATATTTATTTATTAAATAAATACAGTATATTTATTTATTAAATACATAAAGCAAATGCCTAAAAATCTAAATAAATAACTCCGTTCCAAAGCATGGGCAGTAATCTCTACTGGAACCCATGAGAGGGCTTTCAAAGCATATTGGCTGTGCTGTGTAATTACAGTATGTTGCGTGGGGTTGTCGTGGCTGGGGCAGATGGAGAGAGCTAATCCTCCGTGTTACCGCACATGCTTCTCAGCTCCTCCAGCGATCAGAGCGCTAAACAGACATCAGCTGAGCCTGTCAAGCCCCGTGAGTCTGCTGTAACCCTGAAACTGGATCTCTGGGGCTCAGGACTGCAGCGGGTTAATAATAATAATAATAATAATAATAAGTTTAATTTATATAGCGCCTTTCCCAAGCTCAAGGACACTGCACAATGACAGAAGCAAATACATTCCTACATACATGGACAATACATTTTCCAAGTCCAGAACATGTGGTTGCAGTTGCATACCACAGTAATAATACAGTATTATAGAGAAAATAATTTTTTTTTTTTTTTTATAACAGGTAACATTAACATGACATTTAAGGAAGGGATTTCTCTTTTGCCTCTGTCGTACCTCAGTGATCTATTGGGATCAAGCGCAGGAGGTCGGCGACCGATGCATTATCAGCAATTCATACCGAGCTCCCTGGAGAGACTCAAATTTACTATTAGCTTTTGTTTCAGGGCTTCTAGCCTTTCATTAGCCAAAGTGACACTTTTAAAAGCTTATTTAATTTTTTTTATTGTGTAATTTATCTTTATACGTTATTAATCATGATATCTATCTGTTCAGCACTTTAATAGCTAACCGCACTTGTGGGTGGGATCAAAATAAAATCACAGGTCCCTGTGGTTCAGTTGGGGATGGTTTAACACACTACAGCCAGTAAAAGCTTCATCCATTAGCTTGAATGCTTCTCCAGAGGGCTGGATTTATATAGTCTATTGATGAGCAGCAGCACAGAGTGAAACAACAGACACAATATGCTGAGCGAAACATATAATCTGATTCACATTCAAACACTACAACATTTTTCTATAGCTTCAATTACAAACATACATTTTTTGGGGGATATATATCAGGAGGTCTACGGTATTCTTAAAAGTACCATGTACTTTACATCTTAATACACCCTAATAATATTTTCACATTTTTATATTGGTTTTATTAAAAAGTATAGAAAATATTCTGTTCAAAAGTAATATATTATATTATATATTAAACATATGTAATAATTCATATTTTATGATGGGATTCTTGGTCTGGAACAAGAGTAAAACAACAACAAATCTATATAAAATATAATATGCACTACTGTATATACTAAACACTATGAGGTTAGCTTTAGCAAGTCAAATGAGTTGGACATTATATGAAGTAGAATTTATTAGAAATAGAAATCTTTTGTAACATTATAAATGTCACTGCTGATGTGTCCTTGCTAAACAAAAATATTTATTTATTTATTTAAAAATAATTACTGACCGCAAGAATGAATGGTACTAGTGTATCTATATATAAAAAAAAACTTTCCCATGACCTAACAAGGTTCAAAGTTTTAAGGTTACCACACAGTTTTAATACAAATCGACCCATTGAACACAAAAGTGCCTTCAGTTGAAGAAATATCAATTCAGAGCGCAGTGAATTAAGCATTTTTTAAACTGACAAATGCACAAAATGGATCCAGATCTTTAATACACAGAGGTTGTTGCTGTGTCTGTGAGAAGGGAAGCATTAAAGTGATTGATGGGCTTCAGGGCTTAGAGAAAGAGAGAGTCTCAAGCTGCTGGCCATGACACTCAAGATGCAGAGCGGCCACAGAGCAGCGGCCGTCACCCTGCCCAAAGACTCGCCATTCCTAATTTATGAGGGCTCTACCAAGCCTCAATAATTCATACACCCAGCTCCACACAGTGATCACTGAAGCACAGACCGCCTTTCACACAAGACCAAAAAAAAAAAGTATAAATAAACACCATTCTCTTTCAGACAAGGTTTGCCTCTCCATTATGAGATTCTTTATTTCGGCGGCAGTGGGACTATATTTGGTACTGCCTATGAATCATCTGACGCACAAATGGCTGCAAGACAAAAAAGCTGAAACGGCATTCACAAAACAACTGTTAATATATAAGGGGTTATCGCAAAATTCTGATGCATTATGATTCAAAACCAAGTAAAAAAACGAATTCACTGATGATACAGTAGGTCAAACCTACCAAACTGTAGCTATTTATTATCCTTTTATTGTGATCATTGAAAACACCACGATGAATTCACTAAGAATGCACTGCGTCCCTAAAAAGTAGGCCTAACTGAACTGAATATTTGCGTAGGATGTCATAAAAATGTATTAGTTTAGCTCTAGGGCTCCATATTCTATATTTGGCACCATTATGGGAGACAATATTGGTGGACGGATGAGAGACAATCGATTGTTCCCTGAGAAAAGGGCTCACAATACATGCTGACACAAATATGGGGAGAGTGCAGCTGGGTTTAACACACTGACACACATACTGATGGTGCATGTGAGCTTCCCTTTCATGGGAACTTCGAACTGCGTCCTCTAGGGGGCGCTATGGGGAACGCCTCGTCGTGACCCGTGTCTGAAGCATACATTGAAAAAACACCAACTCGTTGGCCGGCGACAGCCATGACGTCACTACCGGTGCGACTATAGTATAAATAGGCGCCGGGAGCACACATCAT